GACATATACACCTCTGTAGTGTGTCAGTCTCTGTGTCCCTCCCTCTTGTGTCTCAGATTTCTTCTTTACTCTGTTCTTTTTATTCCCTCCAGAAGCAATCTCCTAACCTAAGTGCAGAATGGACCATCTATTTCTTCTTTCATACATACTTGTCTGTACTTTAAATTCTTAGCTAGACTTGGGCAGTCATTCTGCGAACATTCACATACTCCATGCCAGCATCCCTACAAGTTATGCTGGCACATAAACATTTGCAGAATCAGATGTTATTCCACCTTCCTTTCCTCTGTTTAGCTTGTCCCAATGCCCAGCAATCTAGTGACAAATACTACTCAGAACATACCTAAAACCCATGTGTTCTCTTCAAGGCTCAAACACTTATCCAATCAAGTCTTGTTCTGATTGTATTGTCTTCAAACTGGAAAAATTCACCACCTCTCCCTGCCAAAATGAACTGTGATCAAGTACAATGTCCCTGAAGCCCTGCACACCCCTCTAACATCAGAGCTTTGGAAAGTGTTAAGAATGGTTTTGCTTTTCTTTTGCAATATGTCTTCTATGGTAGTATCTGAATAATCACATATATACTTCAATAACAGATCAAAATTGAAGAGATTATTAGACATGCTGATAATTAATTTTAAGCTAAACATATTTACTATGTCTAGAAAAAGATGACTGATATTCAGTTGCTAACTGAATTTGATAATACCTTAATTAATGTATTATTAACACATTCTGTTCGGTATTTAGTTGCCAAATTACATTTAATCAGTATTATTACGCTTATGAGACTATTCTTTTCTGGTTTAACTGTTTGCATGGACTTAGATACTCTTGCATTATGACTGATATATATCCTTTTCTATCATTCTTCCATACTTGCCCTTTGGAGGTACACCCATGCTCTTGCATTAATGCACACCTCAGCTGTGACTTCTAAAACTCTGATAGTTACACTGCTTTGTAACAATGTATGGATACTGCATGGCATTTTCATTTGGTCCATGTTTTAGCTTAATATGTGGCTGTAAGGAAAATCAAGCAGCAGTAAAGAGTGCATCAATATCTGTGCTACCTCCTGAACCTTTTTAAAGTGAAAATCCTTAATCCTGAATACTTTACCTTTCAAAATGCAATCTCACCCTATAACACTTCAACGGTTTAATTCCATAGGAGCAAGGATTAATTTTGCATTTCTGCCAGGGGCAAAATACCTGCTCAAATTATGCAAGTAAAAACAGTGGTGCTGGCAGTTCACTCAGAATATCTATCTATCTATCTATCTATCTATCTATCTATCTATCTATCTATCTATCTATCTATCTATCTATCTATCTATCTATCTATCTATCTATCTATCTATCTATCTTCCATATTCTAGAAAATTCTCAATTTTGTTTTCTTGTGATAAACTTTCTAGCAATAGAATACAGACTGTATTTTAGACACATTCCTTTTTAGTGGCACTGCCAATTTCTATGCCAAGTCAATAAAATTCAGGTCTGTCTTTTATGCAGCATACTAAGTGAACATAGAAAAAAAAATACAATAATGTTACAAAAGCTGTTTATTGACTGGCTCATTCAAACACGCCTATTTCACTATGCTTGCTTTTAGTGAGGCTATGCCACTAGTAAACATATTTGTGTTCTTAACTGTTTGAATACGATTCCCCTCCATTGCTTCCAAAGGCCACCACTGGAATAAATTTTCTATATTTATATTAAATTCATGTTGGTCTATGGAACAACTGCAGCTTTCAACCAATAAGGTATAGAATTAACCATATTTGCATCATTTCTGAGCGATCTGCAATTGAACTTGTTAAACTGGGAACCACTGCAAAAAAATCATAACCAGATCTGATTATTCTGGGATGTTCTTTATATACATATATTTCTTTTTTTAGATGGTGGGGACGTCTCAAAGTTGTCTATGTCAGTGCACAAACTCCAATTTGGTTGCATGCAGGGCTGGATACAATTCCTGTAATTCTTCAGCTTTTATGTGGGAACGAAATTATTTCCAAAGTTCTCATAAGGCGTCAGTCAACTTGAACAGCACCCACCAAAGGGAAGGGTTTTAAGGATGATGGAAAATCTAAACTTGCGGGAAAAACATCCCTGACTGGAGATAAAGGACAAAGAAATTCACCTAACAGAGAACAAGTGAAAGCAGGCATGCATTCCCAGCTCTCCCCTCCTCCTCTGCCCCCACAATGGCCAATGGCCAGGGCTTCCTCCCCTTACTTGTTTGATGATCTAACCATCTGCTGGGGTACAGGCCCTTACTCCCTCTCAGCAGTGCCATGTTCTCAGTGAAAAGAAAGGGAGCTGAAAAGAGCCAAGAAGTTTAGAGCTGAAGTGTTCTTTCTGCTGGTAGCATAAGGAAAGCTTGCCGCATCTGTTTTGGGAAGGACAGGATGAAGATGCATATACGGAACAAAGAAAGAGCCCAAAAAATCTGAAAATGTGACTGAAAGAAAGCATTAAAAACACTTAAATTCTAGGAAAGGGAGAGCTTGATGCATTTTTTGATTCAAAGGACAGACAGTAGTATATCTCTTTTAAAAACGCAACTTCTGCAAAGCTTTCTGTGGGGGAAATACAGGCTGTGGTTGGTTTTGTGAACCATTCTCCTAATAGCAGTCCCAGCTCTTCCACAGAATGGTCTGCGAACCCACACACTAACACATCAGAGCTGGAGGATGGATGGAATAAGCATTTTCAGGAGAGAGGTGCCCTTCTGAGTAATTCCTTGCAATCCAAGGCCAAGGAAAGTTTATCTGGAGCATAGAGGAAAAGGTGGACTGGAAGCCACAAACTGCAGAAGGCTGTTGCCACTGCTTGTCTTGACTCCTGAAAAATCTTTAGAAATAATGAGAAAAGTGAGGACATGATAGTGCATCTTTTTCACAGGTGGAGGGGAAGTTCAATCTGCACAGTTTGTGTAAACAAATACTTTCCCTTAACCTTTCCCAAATCTCGTACTTGCTTGCTTTTAGTGTTCAACTGACAGTTTTTAAACTAAGAAAGGCCCTGAAGATTAGTGACCTCATGGCACATTCTGCCTCTACCAATGGCAAAAAACATGCCAGAGATGAGTGGTAGAGATGGGGAGAGGCACACAGTCAGAGAATTAGCGTGGTAGTGGACTGGGAAGGAAACACCGCAGTCCAGAAAGCAGTCTTGGTTGGGGCTGGCCCAGAGCTCCCGTGGGTCTGGCAGCGGGAGGAGCTGCAGCACCCTGAGACCCCAGGGGCTCCCCAGGGCCCAGTGCCCTCACCTGTGTGCGGGGGCGGGGGGAGCACAGCTGGAGGGCTGGGCCCCGATTGGCCGATAGTCTGTGTCATGTGACATTGTGCTCACTATATAAAGGCAGGAGTGGCCTGGGAGGGGCCCTCACTTTTGGGAGTGTGGCTGTGGGGCCTTTGTGTTTGGGATCACCAGCTGGGAGCAGGTGTGTGGTGAGCAGCTGTATTGTACATTACCTGTTGATACTGCTGTCAGTGTATTGTTCTGTTACTGTTATTAAACTGTTTTTATCTCAACCCGGGAGTCTCCCTTTGCCTCTCCGGTTCCCTCCCCATTCCCGAGTGGGGGGAGGGTGGGTGAGAGACTGTTTGGCATTTAGCTGCTGAGTAGGCTCAAACCACAACAGTCCTTTTTGGCGCCCAACGTGGGGCACAAAGGGTTGAGATAATAACAGATTTGATCTGTGTGTACTGTCAAGTTTGTTATAATGCTGACTGACCATCCTGTTATAATGTCATTTGCTTGGCTCCTAAAATCGTGGTTTTTGTTGCTGCAGTTGTGTTATACATCATATTACTTAACATATGTAGTCCCCATGCTGCTGCTTATTACCCGTGGGAATTGGATTAAGATTTTTGCCTTGCTGTAGTATGTAACTCTATGGCATGATAAAAGCTTTGGTCCTGGGAGTTGTGGGGCACCTACTGGAATGGGTTAGTAACTACACCCTCCACCTTTTCTCCTCGGAAAGCCCACCCAAGGGGGAGATACCTTTTTCCATCTTCCCCTTCTCCAAGCTACTTACAAGTATACTTCAGAATGCTGAGAACTTTGAATATCCATGGAATGCTCATATTAACGTCGTCGTCTTGTTTCTGGAAGCTGTAGTGTTCCTGAATGTGGTTCAGGTTCTGTTTTGGGTTAAGCAACTGTTTCTGAATACCACCCAGAGGTCTACCCCAGGGTTGCAGAGTTATGAGTGGTTGTGAGTGTGGGGTAGCATAGGCAAGTAACTAGGACAGTGGGGACCTCCAATGTTTTGGAACTTGACCCCTGAACAAGTGCGGGATCCTGAGAAATTAGTAAAATATTTAGAAAAGGTGTGCTGTCATCCTGACACCTCAAGAGAGACTCAGATCATTGCAACATGCTGGGGCCTGGCCCATGCCTACTGAACCCTGCTGGCCACCATGCAGTATCCTCAAAAGGAAGACGTCTCTGCATCTGAGAACAAAACAACAGGCACTGCTTGCCTGCAAGTCACCCTCACACCAAGCCTCATGAAACGATTTTGTTTTGTCATGGAGTCGGTGTTAAACTTCTGGGAGAATGTCTGGGAGTCGTAATACTCCCTCACCGCTGAAGCGCTTCCACAACCCACTGTCATCTCACCACTGCAGGCGACTTTTCCTCTCCCGCCTGTTCTCCCGGCCACTCCCAGCACAGCCCCTCACAGGGCGCGAAGCTGGCGAGCCTGGCTGAAGGTGGGGGAGGAAGGGGGGGCCCCTGTCATTGAACAAGTGACACGCAAAACGCGCGCGCGCACGCCGTCACACCTCTACACCCACACAAACCGCAAACAGCTGACGCAACTTCAGCACCAGGAGGAGGAACTGCCCTCGCCCCGCCCCCCCGCCCGGCTCACTGCGCACGCGCGCCGCGGGAACTACCGGCGCCCCCCTCCCCCCCGGCGCCGTGACGTCACTCGGTAGCCCCCGACGTCACTCCGGCACATGCCCTCTCGCTCAACGCGGTGCCCGGAAGCGTCCGACTGGGCAGGACGGCTGATGGAGAAAGGTTCCGGGGCAGGTTTAGTTCCGGGGGCTCCTCCGCATGAACCGCGGCCGCTGCCGCCGCCTCGGCTGCGACGATGATCCCGATCCCGGTGGTGGTGTGCGTGCTGGGGGGCTGGTGCGCCGTCTACCTGGTGGATACGCTGCTCAAGGTGAGGGCTGCGGACGGGAGCCCTCGGCCGCACGCCGGGGCAGGAGCGCCGCTTCACACCCCCCCCAACCCCCCGCACCCCGCCGCGGCCGGGAGGGCGGCACCGGCAGCCCCACCCCACCCCACCCCACCCGGGGCGGTGTCTGGGGTCGCCACCGGCCCCTCGGCCTTGCCGGTGCTGCGGCCTAAAAACGGGTCGCTGCAGCCCCGCACGGCCCAGCGGCGGCCCCCGCGGGGGGGTGCGGGGGTGCTGTTGCTCCCGCCCATCTCCGGGATTGGAAGCGCCTCCCAGGCGGGTGTGGGGATTTCGGGGCTGTGCTAAAGGACCAAAGCTGTAGAGCGTTAGGGAAGGCAGCTTCTCTGCTGCTGCTTAAACATTCTGTAGCATTTTAATGTTATTTCTGGAGCTTAAAATGGTACTATAGTATTTTTTTTTTAAAAAAAAACCCAGCCATAATTTATAAGTTTTCTATGTAAACTATGTGTTTTGTAATGATTATTCTGAAATTACTGCATGTAAAAACCTAACATGCGCTTTTTTTTTTCTTCTGAATGTCCTTAGTTTTACTGAGAAAAGTAAGTTGAGACAGAACTCAATACAAATACTTTGTAAAGAAATAAACTTTAAGTTTCAGAGTATTGTAAGACTTTCATCCTGATGGAGAGGGGAACATTTGAAAAGAAAATACAGCAACAAGACATCGTTCATTCTATCTAAGGATGCATTTGTACATTGCACAAATTTCATTAAGGTGGTTTTTTGTTTTAAAGCTCAAGAGGTATGATTTCTAAGAGGTTGTTGAAATTGCAAAGTATATATGCAAAATAGGATGTATGTTGGTTAAATATGAGGAAAGATAAAAGGTTTGATTTGTAGTTCTCTTTCTTTTTTTACGTCAATGTTACAGTCCAGGAGTTGCACTTGTTTCTGCCAAGTGCAGATAGGGCTAGCGATTTCAAAGTAAAAAAATGTTCATTTTGTCACTCCTGTAAAATGCAGGAAGAAATACAAGAAACTAGGTGATGAGAAAACTTGGAAAAATAAGTGGCTCCCCCTGCTGCTAATCTTTGGAGAGCAAATGCAGCTCAGTAAATTGTGAGAGCTGTTGATTACCAAATATTAGCCTGTACATAATGACACCAAAAGAAACAGTAATTTCTCTGAAGATTTTTCGAATTTTATTGCATTAAGTTGATATGAGGTATTTGGAAGCAAATGTGGCATTGTTTTGAAACAGGTTAGAAATTGTCTGGATACCAGAAAAACGTGGTCCTGACTGGCAAGACACACCAAAACCCACTGGAAAGGTCAGCCAACAGGCTGGGTTTCTTTTGACAGTACCTTTGTGTGTGATGAAGAATCTCAGAGTGTAAAGCAAGCGCTGACTTCAGGTAGCAGACCTGTTGGGCCACAATGCTGAGACCCATTTGTATCTCTGAGATTCTGAAGATCTCTTTCAGCATTACACCTTAAAATCATTCTCTTTCGTAAGTAAGAAGAGCCACTTACTTTCTCTCTACAACCTCTGGTAGAGCTTAGTAGCAGCAAGGGAGAAAGAAAACCCCGCATTGTTTTGAGCCAACTGAGTGCCTGATTTATGTTGAAAAAGGAGGGAGAATGCTTAGGATGCTGTAGCAGGAGATTCCAAGAGTTAAATTTTAACTTTGATCTTTTAACTAGAAGTTGACAAAGGTTATTAATTGCCAGGAAGTATGTGGAAGCTCTTGGGTTTCAGTAAACTTACTGGTACATGTCATGTGTGTACATCTCAATGGTAAATTTCACTATGAGCACCACAGCCAAAATAGAATTTGGATTAAATAACCAGATTTCTATAATTAGGAAACTCAGCATTGGTTGTTTTATTGCTGGTACTGTAAATCTCCCACCACATTCATAACCTGAGGCTGCTAGCAACCACAGCGAAAGGCAGTCACTGTTTAAACCTCAAATCACTTATAATTTAATTACTCCAAAAGGACATACAGAGCATGAGTGAAAAATAATACAGGAGTACTTTTCCATGCATGATCCTGTTGATATTTTTGGCAAGAGAAGAATGTGTGCTGTAACTTGTAGTTGATGTTTATTCTGTAAGCTTGCTCAATGTGCAGTGTCTCTTGTTCAGTTTGTTCAGATCTCAAACAGGTTGTTAGGCAGTCTGACCCTTAGAAAGTTTACAATATAGGAGGCACAACTGTGTGTATAAATGCATTATTGCACAAATAAATTCACATAATATTGCTAGAGTGATAGTAAAAGATACATTTGTGTTACCAAACTGAAAGTATGTCAAATAAAGCTGGGAGTTGAAATTTTAAGTTCCTCTTGTTGCTCTTCACTGAACCACTGGCATAAAAGTTTCCATTGAAGCTTGGATCCTACAAAAGGGAATCACTCAGGCAGACCCCTAAATTCCTGCTCCCCAGCATCCTAAATCATCTCATTTCATTCTGCCTGAAGGATCAGGAATGAGCAAAGGGTAGGAGGTTGTCCCTCCTTCTGCTATGAGAAATAAAGGATGCATTAGACACATTCAGCCAAGGTTAGCCTTCAGCTTTTAAGGTCAGGAAGCTGAAATGGTTCAGAGCTCTTGAACAGATTTTGTCAGCAAACAAGAATGTTAAGGACTGCTGCTTACTGGCAGATATTTATGGAGCTCCTGGAGTATTCAGCAGATGTTCATTATTTTGAAGGCTTGCATAAATAAAAAAGGTATCGCTTTTGTAGTAAAATGAATATAACAAAGATCACTTAGAACTCAATAAGCAGAGCCAAGGCCTGTGTGAAGTTTGAAATGAAGCATAGGGTGTCAACAGACCTTGTATCAGGGCGTGAGGGCAGTAACATGGCAATCCTGCTGGGCTCAGGACAGAAGGAGAAAAAGTTTGCATAGAGCTTTTTAATATGTTTTGCAAATGGATGCAGTCATTTAGTGATCTTAAAAACAATTTACACAACTTGTGAGGTAGATGCGAAAGGAAAATGAATTTTGGTACCTTCCCCCCTTTCCCCCCATGCATTTGGCAAATGTATGGTCAGTAATCCCATATTTCTCATGGAAAACTTCATATTTATTTATGCCTTGATAGTACAGTGGGGCTGTGGTGTGATTGAAATGAATCTGAAGGGATGAATTTGTGGCATTTCCAGGGAAAAAAGTGGTTTTTGCACATGATAAAAGGAATACATTTTTTAAGTGCCAAATCAATATATCCAATTAGCTTTATTATAATAATACGTGGTTGGTTGGGGTTTTTTGGACTCTGGGAATGAACAGGATGTTTACTTAATTCCCAAAAGACAGTTTCTTATATCAGAGGTACTTAGTGTCATAGGTATTTTTGTTACTAATTATCTGGTAGCTTTTGTCAGGAGATATTTTTCTTTGTTTCTTTGGCTTATGTATTATTAATTGTGCAATTGTAATCAACTCTGTGGTCTCTTCTGTTAAAGTTAACAAATGCTGGGGTAGCAAATGCTGATTTGATTGTGGACACTAAACTTAGTGGTGTCATAGGGAGTGGCTAGGGTTGATTAGGGAATACAGTACCATGAGGATTTCTGTCGGTGCCCTCAGCTGGCTGAACAAAAATGTAGCTAAAATCAGTAGGGTGAAGAAGAAGGAAATGACACAGAAATATATAGGCAGAAAGGATAAATGGGGTAATAGGTGATACATGAACAGTGACCTGATAAATAGGTCTCACGTCTTATGAAAATTGTTACTTGAAATAAATTTTTAGTGTTCAAATTTGAATTAATTCGGCAAAATAAGAAAAGCTATGAATAGAGCTGTGCAAGATGAGACCCTTGCTCCCCACCACCCCGATGCACCAGGACAGGAGGAATACAAGGATCTTGGCAAGTTCTACATTTGTTTAAAGAATGATGGGCAACATCCAGAAACTTGTGAGGTTCCTCCTGGGGGAGAGCCTGTGGTGAACTACATATTCCTGATGCCCTCAGTAGGTGCTGCTGCTCATTGGGAAGCTTGGGAACAATGCTCCAATTCAGACAGCTCCGAAGACTTGTCTGGATTATGTCAGACACACTTCTGCCTTGGGACCTGCCCGAAGTCAGGAGGCTCAAAGCTCTGGTGTGCTTTTTCTGAGCTGCGAGCTCCTCTTTCACCTCCAAGGAAAGCATTCCTTCATTGGGTTTCTGATACTAGCTTCCATGAAGCAGGCTGAGTAAAACCTATTGAGAATACAAGCACTGTATAATATAAAGTAGCAATCGCATAACTATGTCTATCAGTCTATAGTATCAGATAATACTGCAGATAAGTGTTAATCATATAGTTTATAGGTCACATTTCTCATAAAGAGAAATCTTTGGAACTACTAGGAAGGCATTCTAGCAGTATCTTGAAATGCTGGGAAGTTATCATAGTGAAATCACTGTTACAGTACAGTTTGATAATTTTAAATTCCTTCTGGCTTTTTGTTAGTATGATCAAATATTTCAGAGTCTCTTTGGGCATAATCTTTGTGTTTGGAAAGCAGAGCTAACTTTTACCCCTTACTAAAGGGTATCCACAGTACCGACTGATATCTCACCAATACTAGAAACAAGTTTTTTCAGCTGAAGCCAAAATAAGCATTTTTCTTTACTGTAGTTTTAAAAATGTTTACTGGAATATAATTGCACATTGCAAAAATACCATAAACAGTTCAGTCTTTAGCCTTCTAAACAGAAAGTAAAAAACTTCTGAAAGTGATTTAACATTAGGAAATATGGTATAAAATCTTGTTTGTCAAACAACACTGGATACCTGATCCCTCGCAATCATAGAACTGTTGCAATTTACATGAAAACAATGGCATAATTTTTTCATATTACATGTCATACCTATCTATATGTCAAAATACAAATAGCGTGCAGGACATTTACCTGAAGTTACACATCTGTTTTTATATAGACGGATCACATCTACTGCTTGCTCACATAACACAAAATCTTCCTAGAAGTTTTTGGTCAAACTAATTTTCCATTGTTTTGCAGTCATCCAACTCTCTGAAGGCATCTTATGAAGACTGGCTGCTGACATATGGCTTGAGCATCTCTCCTTTTCACATGCGATGGCAAACAGCTCTCTTCAACCGCCAGTTCTACAACTGGGGGAGATGGAAACCCAGATTTCTGTATTTATGGTATAAATTCAGGATTTTCTTACTTCTGCTAAATACAGAGTCGGCAATTTAACCACATATGTGCCACTCAGCCTTAAGAGTGCAATGGATAGACATGGCTATTTCACTAGGCTAATGATAAAACAAAACTAGTGTGGTTGCCATAATTGTACTGTTCCAGTATAAGTCTTTCTCCTCTGCTAAAAAATAAATAGGTGTAATATAGGTTTCATATGGAGATGCTATTAAACTAGAAATCTGTAAACTATTTTTACATTGGTTTGGACTATATAGTTTTTAAGAGTACTGCTATTACATGTAATACTGCAAACAGAAATAGGTCTGAAAGCATCTTCTCATATCTAGATCTGTCCATCACTGTCCACTGAGCTCTCCCCTGATCACTAGAGTTTACAAAGTATTCAGACAGTTCTGCCCCTGTTGTCAATCATTGCGCCAACATTCAGCAACTATACCTGCTCAGAAGCACATTGCTCACCTTCTGTCTTTTGTCTGCCTGCACCGTTCCCTCCTGAGATTGCACAGACTGCTGGGAATGGGTGAATAAGCAGGGTGGTTAGTATGGGTGTTCCTGGACTGGTTTAGAAAGCTATTGCTTGGTTGCCTTCCTAGCATTAGTTTATATCTGCTCTGAAAATACGAAATAAATAAGGTCTGAATTTCTTTTCCTTTCCTGTATTGCTACCCTCAGTGAGATAGTAATAAAAGAGAGAGATGCTTCATATTGGTTTCGTATGTAATGATTTTACTATTTTGGTCTGAAATAGTTCTATATCAATCACAATTTTTCAATGCATATAATTTATTACAGGATAATGTTTCCATCAGTCTCTTTAATTAACATTACAATTACATGTTGCTTAAAATAAATCTGTTAATTCCCAGTGAGCTTCATTAAGGATGGTAAGAGAACATTGTGAGTGGAAGGACTAGTAGTGAATTTAAGTGTTTTAGCTATAAAACAGACTTTATCACATCCTTCAGCTATTGGACAGTGTAAAATAGTAAAAATAATGCTGAATACAAATTCACCACTAGGTGGACTGATGTAAATTGAAATTATTTTCAACACTGATTTTAGTGAAAAATAAATTGGTGAGAAGAACAATGTGTTTTAAGTAATTGATTTTAATCTGGTCTTGCACTTGTACCTTTTAGTTGTTCTTCTTTTAGAAAGGTTGAGTCTCATTTATTGTTCTTTAGCATTTTTTATTTTTTGTGAGGAAGATGCAAACTTTACTGAAAAAGCCTATATAAATAAATATGAATACTACCCCATCATTTGATCCATGTTTCTAAATATGTGATGGTGTAGTGCAACACGGTAAATTTTACATTGTTAGTTATGTTTTCATATTTGTAGCTAATGGCAAGTTACATGCTTTGAGTAACTGAATAAAATCTAGAATGTGTAAGAACAACATAAAATATTTGAAAATTAATCATGATGTGGTTTGGATGTAAAACATTTATTAAACAAGAAAAATATTGTATGTTATTAGTCAATGGCATTAGTATACGTTATTATTGTTACTAGTTTCCTCTAGCTAATCTTTTTATACTGGATTGTTGATAGATCAATAGTAATAGCATCAGGTAAGTTTTGCCCTGTGAATTTGGTGTGCTAAGTTGTGCTAAAGCAGTTACATATTCAGAAAATATACCTTATCTTCTTGCAGCTATGCATTGCTAGACTATTTGGTTTTCTTTGTAGGTTCAGCATAGGAATGGTGTTTGGTATAGTTGCCATGTTTGGCTCTGTTATTCTTCTCGGAAAGACACTGATGCAAACGCTGACACAGATGCTCACCGAGGCACCGAAAGCCCAGAATGATCGTATGCTGCAAGTTGTGGTAAGTGTTCTCTCTTCAGGTCTTTATTTGAGAGTTGTGAACTTAACCAGCTTCTTTAATGGGGTATGTGATGCTTAAATCCTCCCATGCAAGAATAACTTAACGCTTGATATTAATCTAGGTAAAAATTTGCTGGTTTGTTAACTGTCTTAAAAATAGGGAGTGGAGGTAGTAAAAGAGGGGAAGACAAATGAAGGCAAACATGTGGAAGAGTTTATATTCAAAAAATCTCAGGAGTGAGAATTGGCTAGTAATTTTGAAACAGCACAAGTTATCACAGTACTAAGAATACTAAACAGCTAAGAATTTGCCTCCTCTGAACTGTGTAATGTGGAGGCACTGGTGGCCTTAAAGTTTGCAGAGCACATCCATAATGCACAAGAAGAGAGGAGTTCTATTTCATTTATTATGATACAAAACATCAGTGGAAAATGAAAGAAATGTAAGGAGTTTTGTGTGATAGTGTAAGCAATGATTCATTAGTGAAGAGATGGCATATTTTCTGATTGTTCAAGGACTTATGCCCTAATTTACAGTCTGAAATTGAAAGTGTAGTTTCTGGCATTATCTAGTCAAAGGCTTAATAACTATGTATTTATTTGTTTTATGGATTTCTGATGCTGAACAGTATATTGTATGGTTTTAGAAAGGAATGTATTTCACAGAATGGGAGAGGTTTCAAATACTGTCTTTTTTATCTCCACACAAGGCAGTAATGGAAGAACTGACTGCCTTACAGCAGTTTTAATCTGGAAGGATTCCTAGTCAGTCTCATTTCCCCAGGAGTGCTATCAGGCCAGCATGAATGGTCATTTTCCAGAAATGCAGAAAGTCCTAAGAGACTGCTCTGTCTTTTGCTGCATGGCTTAGAGCAGGGATGCCCAATGATTTTAGTCGATTTAAGTACTCAGCTAGTCTAGTGAACAGAAGCTGGGAATTGTTTGCTGCCGTGATAGGCCTTCACCTAAGTGCTAAACTGACTGCGTGCAGCTAGACTTAAAAAATTGCATGAGTGCAGGGAGCACGTGATCATTAGCATATGCCGTAAACTCAGTGCCTTTGGGATGGTTTGGGTCTGTTTCACACGTGCAAGGTGAATATTGCGAATACAGTATGTTGACAAAAGCAGGCAACGAGACCTGGGAGAGATCTTCTGGTACTGGCACTGCAGTCACCCAGTCCACAGCCTGCTCCTGAATTATCTCCAGAAGCAGACAGGAGTGGGCAGTCTGTGCGTCCAGTAGAGCACAAGTTGAGCATGAGACAGAAAATTTTTAATTTACATGCCAACAGGTTCTATCCTAAGCATATATGTCCATTACATTCTCGAGTACATTCTGGAGGAGAGTGAGTGAGGTTTTTAAAAAAACCTTATTTTTTAACTCAACTTTAGCCTGTGGCATAAATCTGTTTAGCCTTTAACCTTTGGCTGTGGACAGAGGAAGGTACAGTTCTGCTTATGTTTTATTGATTAGGGTGTTTGTTCCCTTCCTCTTTTGTTCAGTCAGGTACTTTATTTAAAATACCTATTTGTAGGTAAGTGGGCTGTTTTTCTTTAGCTGCCCCCTCTTGTGCTGGTTGCCTATTGACAAAAGTGGGAAAGAAGCAAATAGTTACTAGCAGGGGATCTCCTTTTACTAAGGGCATTTCCAGAAGACCGTAAAATATGACACTGCTTATTAACAAAATACTGCTATTGATTTCAGAACCCTTCATGAGAGCTAGCTTCCCTTTTAGGTGGATCTTAAACTGGCTTCTTGGATGTGGGGTCTGAAAGCATCCAGTGCTGTGTTCTAACAGGCTACAGTCATAGTGGTATTAAACTCTTGCTATTGCTGTCTGTCCTCCCATGTGCCCAGAGCAGAGGGCCACTGGCAAGGCCAGCTAACTGATGCATCAGTGCCACCAGCTGATGCTGTAACACAAGCAGTGGATGCTTAACGAATGAAGAGCAGCTGTCTTCATACAGTGAGGTACCGTAGTTGTGCCAGTTAAGATAAATATCTTGGTCATGATCACACTCTGGATGGAATTTGTGAAATGATTCGGTTTAACATTAATGAAAATAGTCTTTTGAAGGATTTCTTTTAGCCACATTGTCTCACCAACCTATTGTAGAGTTCTGCTGCATGGGTAGGCGAATGCGTATAATTGAGGAATGTGCAGGACTGAATGAAGTTAGAATCAGATGGGATCTGCAGCCTTTTGTGTCCCACAAGGGTAGTTTTTCGAGAGTCCTATAGACAGGCCAGGGATTTTTGCCATAGCATCTTTTTTCTGCCAGTGGATTGCAATTCAAGTTGTGTTCACATCAGCTGTCAGTGACTGTAGTGGAGTGTGCCCTGCCCTGAGCAGGGAGAGCTGTGGAGCAGCCAGGAGAACTGTCTTGGAGCAAGCAGCATAAGTGGCCTTACCGTCCCACTGCAGCATGGCAGGGGAGCTGGGATGGGAACCGAGCAGGAGGAAAGTCCATCAGGAGGAAGGAGGGGATGGTTCCTCATTTTCTGACTCGTGACTGCTTTGAAGACTGTCTGGAAGCACTTGGTGTCTCATGACTAGTGTAATGAAGGACTTGGGGAGTGGTGGGAATCCACAGCAACGGGAGGAATGCAAGAGGCCTGCATATTATGTCTTACATAAATTAAAATAGTATACTTCAGTGCTTTTTTTAAAAAACAGATTGAATTGTATGACTGCCAAAACTTGAACAATAGACAAAAGTTAGCCTTTTTTTGACCTTGTAAATTTTGGATAGTCTTCTGATTTGCATAGGCAGGAAGAAGGGAGGCTAACAGTTCCAGTTGTAGGCTCATTTTTTTAACTTATAGGGCTCATAATGTTTTAAGTACCATAAAATCTTTTTTACATGGTTGGCTGCAGGAAATTGTAGACTAATGCTCACAGTTGCCAAGCCTGTTTCATTTGAGTGGGAGTCTGTGTCTGTTTTTATAAGCTTCTTGAGCTTAATATAGAGTAGGATACATTTGGTCAGGGCTGTGGGGAATAAGTAGGGCAGGGAGAAGGCTTCTGCACCTGGAGAGCTTTTCAACCTTCAACAAAAGAATATATATTTAATATATTTTAAAATACATTGAATCAGCTGGGAGAAGAGGTGCAAACTGATAGCACTGCATGAGAACGGCCCCTGTTTCTGTTATGGGTCTGAGGAAGCTGAGTGAGAGGAGCAAGTTTAGGGGCAGAATGATTTGTCTTTGTGCCTCTTGGTTTCTTCCTGTGTTTTATTTTGTTGTCATGCCTACAACAACAGGTGCCTGGGGTAAATTTGCCTGTCAGCCAGCTGACTTATTTCTTCTCTGCAATCCTCATCAGTGGTGTGATACATGAAGTCGGCCACGGGGTGGCAGCTATTCGGTAATACAAATTACTTTTCTCTTACCATGTGCCAACAAAGCCTAACATTCCATAGCATTTACTTACAGGTGGATGTCGTTAGCACTGCTTCGATTTATCTAGAGAGTCTGTTCATTCTGTATTTCATTACTTCCTTAGATTTTAAGTTTAGAAAGGTGTGCAATTAAGGATAGAGTTTTAATACAGTGTCTATTCTACAGATCATGAGAAAAGACTTGTGCTTTGCAAATACACCATACTGCATTAGGTTTAAAATAATACTTATTTTAAGTGATCTTATTTTTCACGCAGGAATTGCATTTTGGCTGCTGTGGCACTTGAAGAGAACCCATGCACTATTGCACAATGGCACTTCAAATAGAATTTAAATTGATTTCTTTAAACATAGCTTGCAAAATAGCATACCAACAGGCTGAAGTAGTAACTCAGTCAAATGTGATTTGCCCTTATTAATCTCAGCGATGTGTTAATTTTGATCAAAGATTATATTTTTAATGTCACATAACTATGATGATTACTTAAAAAAAAAAAAGTTATTTGACATAGTTAGTCATTACTGTTAAATGACACTCTAGCATAAGAGGGTTAAGTGTTGGTTAATGGGACTGATATTCAGGTGTCCTCCACATTTATCCTGGACATCATCATTATCTGTCCCATGAGCATAAAATCCTAAATTGTTTCAATGATTCTCCTGAGCGTAGGGAGTCGTGACTGTATCTTAACCCATTACTACCTTTTTTCATAACCCCAAAAGTTCTCAATTAAAGGGGTGGTTAGGGACCCTCTTTGTTTCTCATGCTCTGTTTGTCTTTCAGCTTTTTTCCCTTAATATTCACAGGGATTTTTCCATGGAGGATGAAGCTCTTGCTCTTGCTTATCCTCATCCTCAAATGAGGATTGACCCTTGATTGAGTCAATCCTCAAGGTTTAGGCTTTACTAAATAGCTGTGCTGTGGGCAAATTTTATTATTCTGGCAAATCGCTTTGACTCCCGGAAATCTAATACAATTTTGTCAACTTCAGGGTAGTATTGGCTGCGAACTACAAGATCTTAAAATATTTGAGCCTTAGTTTAGTCAAGGCTTGTGTCAAAAAAGCCTTTTTCTTCTTTCTTCTGTAACTTGTACCCAAGTCATTAAATCATGTATAGGCATTAGACTGCCTGTTACTAATTGGTAGGAAGGGTAGGTCTGATGAGTTAACTCCAGGGAATTAATATATTACTTTATTCTGATTAATTTTGTATAATTCTGTGTCTTCTTTTGTTGTATATACACAATAAATAAATGTGAATAAATAAAATACTGTGCCTGTGTACTGTTTCAATAAAGATATGGGATTAGCTGATCTGTGCCTGGTTTGTTTTGGAATAATAATTGGAATGTCATTGTCTTGGAACATGATTGTCATGCCTCTTTGAGTCCCTTATGAAATTTCTAGCTTCATAAAACCTTCACTTAGTTATTCCAAAATGTGCTATTTAAAAGCAATTGTAAAACCTCTGAAAAAAAAAACCAACACAAAAACCAAAACAACATAACCTGTATGATAGTATCAACTACTAATATATTTAAACTGAATTTATCCTTTTAACGTCTTGACTTGTTTTAATTTTTTCAGATGAGATTTCCCTCATTTTTTTTAGTTTACAATTTACTCTAGATTTCATTTAGGAGAAACAGAGAAATGATAAATTCCAGAAATCTATAACTATTTCTTTAAAAGGAAAGTGATTGCTTCTTCCAGATAATTTTTCATAGATTAGTTTGAAACTGCATCCTACAGGCTGCCATTTTTTTACTTAAAAAAAATCCCCTAGATGTTAAAATATATGTTGACTTGAAAGTATTGGGGTTTTTTTAAAGCATTTTATGTGTTACTGTTACCAGGAGACAGAAAATATGTTGAACTTAACCTTTTGGTTTTTACCAGGCTTACAAATGTGTGCTGCTTAGAAGTGGCAACTACTGCAGAAAACAGCCTTTAGTTTAATTCTTTGTATTATGAAAAATAAGTTAGTTTTATAATTATAATTTTAATTATTCTTATTGTCAAATGTGTGCTATGTAGAATCTCTCTTTCATTTGTTTGTTTACAGTAACACTACTTAATAATTTTTCTTCTCCTCTTTTGCAGAGAACAAGTACGATTTAATGGATTTGGGATTTTTATCTTCATTGTCTATCCTGGAGCATTTGTTGACCTCTTTACAACCCACTTGCAACTGATATCTCCAGTCCAACAATTAAGGATATTTTGTGCAGGTAATAGTTTATGCTTTTTTATTAAATCTTTGCTTAGCACAGTTACTTATTCTGCAGGCATAATTTATGAATCCTTGATGGAGAATTGAAGGTTTCAGATGAAGAAGTACAAAAGCTTCCCTGTGCCTGAAGGTGATCCTTCTGTTCTGAACCTAAATTGTGATTTCAGAAAAATCATTTGATCATTACTGCCCATATTGTGCTGTTCTGGAGGAGAGATGTAGGTTTCTAAGAGCTTAAAGGAGTACCAATTTCCTGTCATGAAAAACATTATTATATTAACCCAGACCTGATTCAGAATAGTTGTGCATAAGAAATTCCAGTTGTGTAGTTGGGTAAAAAATGTTGTTTCTGACCTTCGTCTCTCATTAGAAAAAGCTCTTACGCCACCTCAGGTTCAGAAGTTCCTTTTGTTGTTTGGTTTGGGTTTGTTTTGGTTTGGTTTTGGTTTTTTTTTTTTTTTGCATATTATATGGCCTAAGTAGCAAAACCTTGGAGCACACAGGCTGGAAAATACACATCCAGAGGACTGGTGGTTTGAGAACACGACTTACTGTCACAGGTGAACGAACACCCTTGAGCGACTCACTACCATTTTCTGCAGTAGGAGCAATCTATTAGATGATTTTTCAATAGTATTGTGCGTGATTTTCAGTGAAGTGTGAGTTATGGTATTGTGCAGGTCACTGTTTTGATGTTGCCATCAAGAGGAAGTAAAAGCTAAAACACAAACATCCAAAGAGAATCACAGCTATGGCTCCAAATGTTTTTGATTTGTTGGTTTTTGAAGTCTCTGGCTACGGGGAAGTAGAGCCCTGTTGCTGTGGCAAGTTAGACTGAGTCTGTGTAATGCAACCTAAACCACTTGTATTATTGATTTCTAGAGACAAAGGTGGTTCCCAAACTACTGAAATAAAGGTAGAAAAGTTAGCATCTTGGTTTAGTTCTTGATACTAATTATTTGCTATTGCAGGGGGCAGTAAGATAGCAGCCAGCTTGTTGTAATGTTTAGATATCAACATTGTTTCTTGAATATTGTAACTAAAACATTTTATAGAGGGTTTTAGACTGGGCATACAGAAGCCTTTAGCAAAGCATTTTTTCAAGCTTTCATAAATCAAGTAAATTATGATAAGTGATAGGTAAGTAAATATATCTATCTTCCAGATACGAAAGTCATTCATGACAATATGCTTTTATGAAGCCCTGTTTCTCAAATTAATCAATTTCCATTTCCAGCTACTGTGAACAGAACTGAAAGAGAAGACATGCTGATTTTCAAAATGGATTACTCACATACATTTCTGAGAAATCATCTAGAAAAATAAGATTATGAACTGTAATAGAAAATTATTGCTTGCATGTTTTTAATTAAAAGCAAACACTTGAAACTTGAAAAATTTTTCAAGTTTCTTGGAAAACCTGAGATAGAGGAATACAGGGTAGGAACAGGCATGTTGCAAGGCTGGTTAGCATCAATGGATTGTTATCAGTTAGGCATAACAAATATATGAATTTTTTTACAGCTGATGATATGTATGTTTCAGAACTAGGATGTTTGATAAGGAAAAAAAGTGATAGTAAACTTGACTTAGTTTTTCTTAATTGTCAGAGCAGCTGGATGAACCTATTCTCGGTGTTCCGAAGATCTGAGTTTAGAGACATGCTTTCAGATTTTTGTATGGCAGCTAAGTAAAAGAGCTAGAGTAGAGAATGACACCGAATATTCCTTTTGTAGCCCACCTATACTCTGGAGAATAAAGAGTCTGTTTGTTGTACAGCAGATGGCATCATGAGTTCAAGAATAGTGAATGAGCGTTCTTGTAAGACTTGTGATATTTTTAGCATTAATTCTATGCCTAGTAGATGAAAGTGCTTCTGTGCAGTACTTTCTTATAATTAGTTCAAATACTTGTATTATTTTGGAGATCAATTTTAATACATTTGTGTTATCTTTAACAGAAAAAAGGAGTTAACGATTTTCAAAACATTATTTTAAGGTCTTTTAAGGGTTGTGTAAAGTGTCTTTTTTTTTTAAAAATATAAGGAACTAGGTATGCAAGGATGAGGCTCTTTTAACAAAATGAAATTGATGAGGCATACTCAGCAGTGTGCCTCTACAGGTTTTCTCATTTTGAGCCTGTTTTTCTATGGATTGCCTGGGATTAATTTGAAGCCTTTCTATTTTAGGATTTTCTGCTGTATTCCACAGAGCAAACTGTGTAGATTATGGTATTAAGGCTCATGTTTTCCTAACTGTTTGAAAGTATTCCTTGTCACCCTCCAGTAGTTCTGTGACCTTTTTTTTTTTTTGTCTCTCCAGTTTACTCTCTCTAGCTGCCACACTGTTACAGAGAAATTATGGTTCTGTCTTAAACTGGGGGGGGGGGGAAAAAAGTTTATTTTTAAGATAAAAAGGGTCAAACAATTAAATTGAAATATTTATTTAGTACTTTTGGTTTTGTTGCACTTGTGTGTGTGTGTATGCATATAGGTATATGTGTGAGATAAAGCTAACTGCTGAAACATTTCATCTATCTGATTGCCTTTCAATGAGATGATTAAAAACTTACAGAAAGAGAAAACACTTTAAGAAGCACCTACTAGTGGAAATGACAACGAACACTTATTTAAAGTACTCCAGAAATGTCCCTCATTTCTGCAGCATCAGGAACACTGTAAAATAAGACCAGGTGACATGTAGAGATAGCCAGGGGAAATAAGAGTTATGTTATGATTCCTGTGTTATAAACAGTGCAAGAAAGATGGATTTAATATGTTTTTAAATATGTTTACTTCAGTTCCTGTCCTGTAACTATACTGTAAATTCAGAATTGAATCAAACCCCTCTCACCAAGATGAAGCTTCCTGTAAGAAGGGAATTGAGTCTTCAACGTTCAGAAGTTTTCCTGCATTGGTCATACAAAACGTTTGTCCAAGAACACAAATGAAACGAGAAAATTTGTGTAGTACTGGATGTTGAAGGAAGCCAAGTGTGTCTTATGATAGCAATTAATTTATTTCTGTGGGGAACAGCATACTATAAAGACAGCAGTTGAAAATATGTTGCCCAAAATAATGTGTCAGAAAATGCTGATTGCACAACTTATTTTCTTGATGTGGTTTTGGGTCCAGATTTTCATGTAAAATAAGCCTTTTTTCAAATAATTTTCTGAACTTGTTTGGCACATATATATGTAATTATTTTCATTGATACAGTGGAGATAACGATGAAAAATACTGAATTGCATCTAAATTTCATCCATCTTGCTGACTCAGACAAACAGTATTTATTCACACATAAGCCAATTGATAAAGATTTTGAAATTCAATAGTTTGTGATAGAAGGCGACAAGTAATACGTATCATTCCACTATTTTTTTAATATTTATGATTGATGACAACTATGTAGATAGAAACTGTAGTTTAAGAATTCATTCAGAAGCCCAGTTTTTCTTCTGGTTACTCTGCCCACTACATACTACATAGGAAAGTAGTATTATGTGATGAAATATCAATGTGGTAGAATGAAACCTTAAAATTGGACTTTTCTGATAGTATAATTCTCAGGGTTTCAGAGGCTTCTCTAAAACTCCCCTGCAAAGTAACATCATAGAAACTTAAGTTTGTAAGGTAATATACGTATTCCAAATTAACTTTTCATCCATTCTTAGAGTAATTATTTCAGGAAAGTTAATTAGAAGATAACTGTAAAATCTTGCATTTCAAAACCACCTTTTTGTTATTAGTGTTTATTTAGAAATGTGATTTTTTTTTTCCTTCTTTTTAGGAGTGTGGCATAATTTTGTTCTTGGTGTTGCAAGTTTCATGGGTTTGTTTCTGCTGCCAGCCATTCTTTTCCCTTTCTATTACACGGGTGTTGGGGCACTCGTCACTGAGGTCGCAGAGGTAAGAAAAGATCTTTACTATTTTCATATTATATTCTTTGTGACCTGAAATGTACCTATGTCTCTCATTATCAGAGTCAGATTTGGTCAGTGCAGCACTCTGCAGAATCTAATACATTGCACTTTTTGTCTGCGTGAAGTTTCATTCTTAGTCACAAGTTTTTTATTATTAGTAAGTGAAGGAACATGGCATGAATAATTATAGAGTATTCAGCATGCTATAAAACTGTTTAGACTTTTGAGATGAGTTTGCAGGCTTATTTTGGGGTGGGGGGCCGTTAACTTTTTTCAATATTGGCACTAAGTAGATCCGCTGGAAACTGCATTATCACTTTAGTTATCGCTATCTGGTTTTAATGTTAAAGATTATTTTGAGCTTATTTCATTGATGCTTTGGTCAGCTGGAAGCAAAGTAGAGATAGACTGCTGAGTTTCTGGAACGGACTGATTTTTTTCTGACTTAATTAAATACAGCACAGTTGAACCAGCAGAGCTGAAAGGAATCAGTCTGTCTTGGATCTAAAAGTGAACTGATGTAACTCAGGAGGAGAGTGACATTTATTATGCTTTATACCTTCGAAAGTATAGGTACACCCTGCTTTGTTGAAAGATTAATTTAAGCTTCTTGAACTTAAAATGGTACAAAAACCTACAACTTATTAACTTGTATGAAAATAATTACTCAAAATTGAAGAGGTCTCCTGGAACACTTGGAGACTTGCCCTTTTCTTTTTCTTTTCTTTTCTTTTTCTTTTCTCCTTTTTTCCTTTTCCTTTTCCTTTTCCTTTTCCTTTTCCTTTTCCTTTTCCTTTTCCTTTTCCTTTTCCTTTTCCTTTTCCTTTTCCTTTTTTTCTTTTTCTTTTTAATTTTTCTTTTAATTTTAATTTTTATTTTTATTTTCTCTTCTTTTTCTTTTCTTTTTCTTTGCAATAAATAAGTTGTTCTTTGTACAGGATGTTGGTTTTGTAATGCTCTATCGTAAGTTGAAATAATCAGTTCTAGTGGCGCCTGTGATTTTCTGTTTCTCTGGAAATAGTGTCTTAATCTAAAGATTTCATGGCTATTTGGCAGAACTGTAAACAAATCCTTGTAGTTTTAACTATAACAACATGACTGATTTCACTGTTTCTTCTCAGGATTCTCCTGCCAATGGACCAAGAGGTCTTTTTGTGGGAGACCTTGTCACTAACCTACAAGACTGCCCAGTTTATAATGTGGAAGACTGGAATTCCTGTCTGGGAGACATTTCAGAGAAGTCACAGGTTGGCTACTGTGTAAGTGCAGCCAACCTACAGCAATTAAGTTTTCCAGCTAGAGGTATGACTTTAGGTGCTCTGTTCGCTATTTTAATTTTATCAGGTCTTCAAGACTGTTTTGGATTTAGGATTTGTTGGTGGGGACAATTTTCTCCTAAGTTGAAACTGCTAATCTGTTTTAAGCAGTGACCAATATGCCATTCATTTTGGCATATCTAAAATCTGAAAATGAGGAAGAGGTAGACAGAAGAGTAGAAGAATTCTCTGGTCTTCCAGTCATCCTATACGAATATCCTGTATTATCTGAGTAATGAAATTTGCTTCTTCAGGATATTGCATAACTTGGTTATTAGCAGTAATACAATTACCTCGTATTTTTAGTTCAGTTATATGGATCAATTCAGTGATCTTTTGCAGATGTAAATTCTACACATTATCTTACTGCTTTGATCAACATGACATTACAAATTGTATGGCTTAACCCAATGATGTGCTTTATTATGGCCACTTCTTCTGATGTATCTCACTACATGGGTTTTATGTTTCATTTGTTTCTTCACCCTCAGTCATTGCCCATAAACTCAGTTTTGTCTGGATTGCACATACTGCTTCTAGAAGTCAGTCTATTTCCTTCTGTTTTCATTTATACATTAGAGCGCTTGTTGCTGTAAAGCCTTACCCCTGAGAAACAAAAAAATGTGAACGGAACTAAACTAGAACAATAAACAAAAATTAAGTAGAACAAAAAAGAACAGTCAAGTTAAATTGGCTGAATGTCTTGTGACATGCCCTAAAGCTCTCTAGAGTTTGTTTCATGCCAGCATCCATGGAGACTGAGTTCCAAAGGTAAGGGGCTGCTGCCAAGCAAAACCTATATGATGCTATTCAGAGCTTTAAAATTGTCACTGCATTTTTCCATCATATTGGATGTAAACAGGAGGCCAGGCAGCTTGACTACCCATGTTTTTCTGATGCGTTATAGTTCTCTTGTGAGACAGAAAAGGTAATTTTTTATTTTTTTCATATATGAGGAAAGTAGTCTTACAGCTGGCACTAAGATAAATATTTAAACTGGAAACCAGCAGAGAATGGGTAAGACCCTGCTTTTAGAGACCTAACAGTTTGGATTATCCCTCTGAAGAGGAGGGAAACTTTGTCACATGCTTTCAGCTGGGCAGGGATGGCAAGTAAGAACCAATTCCTAAATGCTGTAGGTATTTATGCTCAGATTCTGCTGTTTTCTGAAATGCAGTTTCAGAGTCATGGATAATAAAACTGCATATTTTGCAACTGAACCAGTCCTATTTAGATTGAAATACTAGAGACTTAATACTAGAGACTCAATATTGCTTCCAAGCTTGGTTGCTGTATTGTGTTAGCAGCCCATTGTCCCACTCCTGCATTCTAATCAGACCAGTCTGTCTGCATTTTCAGAGCCATAAGCCTCCAGCAGTGAGAAATATTCCTCTGAAATTAAATGAACTCTGTTCGGTCTCCAGCAGCTGTCATTTGTCAAAATCTTGACAGTTCACAACTTGACATAAATACAGAATATCAATAAAAATGTATCTAGCAAATGGACCCTATCTACTTGACCATAAAACAAATGGAGAGTAAACTATTTGAGTATGAAGCTAGACAGAAAACAATGCCCCAAGGACCTTCTTGAAATTTAAAAAAGAAAAAAAGAAGTGTTTTCAATGTAGTTTATAAAGGAACTAATTTCATGGTCATTCACTATTCAAAACTATATGTAGTTGCTTAGCCTCAGGGTACTTGAAAAAAGGATTGTATGGTACAGTGCTTGCACCTGTAAGCCCCAGGTGTAAAGCTCCATGTTAGTGGACTGCAGGTTATGCAGTGATAAATCAGCAACCAGTATCGCTGTCTGGATCTACCTAAGGAAGGTACTGCAGGGTTGCTGTGACACAGATCCTTACAGTGACTGTTCTTTTGTGTTTTTTTTTAAAAACTGTTATTGTAGAGGAAGTTAGGTTTAATTCATTTAAAGAACATCCGAACAAAGATTCTATACCAGACTCTTTAAATCACAGTTTAAAACATCCTTTATTCACTGCTGCAGCCTTCAAGGCTTGGAAAGATTTCAAAATCTGAATCTTGTCAAGGCTTTCACATTTTAAAGAGGATCTTTTCAGTCCTCATCATTTTCATAGCCAGCCAGTGAAATCAGTACAGTAGCAGGTAACAAATTTCTATGCCAAACCTTAATGCAAGTTGGGGGCAATGGATAAAAGTATTTTGTAACTTGTAATGATCAGAGCATTGCAGTGGTGGATCCCCCGTATGTCAAGGAGATATATTAAGATGAAAAAATCTGTACGTGACATGATTGAAATCAGGTGACATTGTTAAAGTGGTAAACCTTATTTTTAGTTGTAATTGAACCGCAGCTAGGGTCTGTGAATTACTATAATTCTTGAAGGCTACAGAATTATTGGTTTACTTTATTCAGAGACTAACCTGTTTTCAGGAAGTTACTGTAACACTGATCCTTTCCTCTATGCCTATGTTCTTTAGTCTATAGAAGACTCGATGGCACAGTTGAATGTTGTAGTAACAACAGCCTCACAGATATCTGCTTTTCATATAGCAATAACATGGACAACCACCTGGTAAGTTACTTAAACTACTAATTCTGTTTCGTAAATCTGAAATTATTTAAATTAGTTTAGTAATATTTACTAAGATTTATGCAGCATACTCAAGTGCTTAAGAATACCTACAGTTTTTAATAAAGGTGCATGTGTATGTTATTCTCCTCATTTACAGCTTCAAAACCCAAAGTGTTAGTTACGACTTTTCCCATGATCAGTCAGGGAGTCTCTGGAAGAACCAGAAAAGATCTTATAACTCTCATTCCTTTAGGCAGAAAGACACCTCCCCCATTTTCACCACTTGATGAGAATATTGGTGAGAAAAACAACTTATGAAAACAAGATGAAATTGCTTATTTTTGGTGCTTCAGCCTTTAAAGGTACTACAGGCAAAGCAAAGCACTGGATTATCTGTTCAGTTATTTTGTCTAAAGCCAGCAGTGCTGCTCACTAGGTTAAACTAGAAACATGCAAGAGAAAGTCCTAGAGATTTCCCAGTTTCTCAAAATCAGAGCCTCTATGTGGTTCCTTTTTCACCATGTTGATTTTCTTTTAATGCATGGAAACAAAGTTTCTTGGTAGGGTTTTGACTTAGTCTCTTCAAAATACAGAAATGTTTGCTAAAGTACATGATCCAGTGGTACAATATTTCTAGCAGTTCTCTTTACAAAAGCACAAGTACCAACTGCATAAACTTGTCTACACATACCAGTTTGTTATTGTTCTGACCTCTAGTGATAAATACCGAAAGAAATGGAAATAACTCTGTTCCTACATCTGCTATGTTTACAGTTCCTTTGATGGTAAACTTCCCACTCCAGGGTGTTTTTGTGGTATTTAACCACTAAGAATTGAGCACAGACCAGCAGTTCATTTGAAATATGACAGTGGCTGGTAACGTCCTGGAGTTCAGCAAGATTTGATAAATCACTACCCCACTGAGCTTTGACATTCTTAAGCTCATAGCAGCTACTTAGGAACAGAGAAGAAATAAAAGCATCCAGAAGCCTGTGACCTTCAAGTGTCCTTAGACTTGCTGTGAGTTTTTGAACAGTTATTTTAAGTAGTCTTTGCAGTGCTATGCAGCAGTATTTGAAAGTGTGCCCCCTCCCCCTCATTAGAATAGAAAGAGCTTGTATTGAAGTTAATGGAGAGTGTCAAACACTCATACATCTATGGGGAGTGTAACTATCAGGCTAAGAAGCAAGAAAATCCTTTTTTTCTTTTTTTTTTTTTTCTCTAAGGCAAACAGTAGATGAAGAACTTTCCTTGCTTGTGTTTAAGAACAAAAGGAAAATTATCACTGAGCTTTTACGAGAGACATGACGGGGAAAACCAATTTCCTGTTCCTTTCTGCTGTATTCTCTTTGGCCTGTGGGGAGCAAGAACGATCTGGTCTTTCAGACTGCTGAGTGAAAGAGTGTTATAGGTAGGACTTGGGAAACAGCACTGTATTAAGTCTGTGTTCATCATAGTTGAGAATGGTTTCTTAGCTACCACACAGCCGGTAGGTTTGTTGGTTTGTTTGCTGAACATAAGGTTTTACTTAGCCAAATGAGATGTTAGATCAGTGAAGACTAAAACTTCTTAAACAGGTAAGTCACTAGTGTGTTGATGCAGGCTCTGTTCATTAGGAATCACTGACATACATAGAGATGCCTTGATTTTTTGTTGTGCACGTGTGTACCTTTTTAAAAACAGTTCGCTTTTATTTTGGTACATGTGCACACCCTCTCTTCCACATTCCACCAAAAATGGAACAACAGGTTGAATATCTATCAGGTACAGGTTCTGCAGGATTTGACAAAAAACCCTGCAAAATCAGATTTCAGCTCTTCATAGGCCAGTAATGTATCAGTGAGGCACTTCCTTTGCTTTAAAAAGGAGTATGTAGTACCTTTTATTCTGATCTGTTGGAAAATACCTTTAAATTTTATAATCATTTTAAATGCCCTTTGCAGTATGCCTGTCTGCCAGCACGAAAAGTTATTGAGGCCAGCAAAGTTTGTCGGACCAACATGGACTGCCAGAAGGAATTTATTCCAAGCTTTTGTGTGACTCCTTCTTTAGAGAACCAAACAAGGCTAATCCGGGTAAAACATCCACCCCATATTGACATGCTGTATGTAGGACACCCCATGCATCTTCAGTACACAGGTTGGTATTATTTATTAAAACAGTTTAACAAAAAAGATTTCTAATATGGTTTACTTTGCCTGGCTGCTTGAACAAGATCTTGGAGCACTTGTCAGTTAACTTGTTTAATGCAGAATCCATTTCTTGTTGCAGCCAGTGGAGAGACATGGACCTCTCAGGCCTAAAATGAAATGTGCACAGTGCAATGAGTTACAAAGGTAATAGAAACCATATGTGATGCGAGATGGTTGTTTTTTCAGAAAAGTATGAAAGGGTTATTTCTATAACAGATCTCACTCAGATTAGTAATGGGAACCAGACACCTGCATTTTCCCAGCACATAAACTTCTCAAAATGCTATTGTAAAATCTCTAGGGCATGTTGCTCTAACACCTTGCCTGGAATATTAGCATGACTGCCTAAATTGTACCTAATATCCAAGCATCTGTGACAGATTCCCATGGCTACTGAGCCACAAGTACAATCACAACATGTTTTTTTAATTTATTTGAGTGCCCTAAGTTAAATAACACATAACAGTTTAGTTCCTTACTTTGAAATGGACTGTGGCTCTCCTTTAGGCAAGCTTATATCCTTGAGCCAGGTATACAAGCAAAAAGTAATTCTGCTTTTGGAGCAAGTATGGAAAGAATGAACAAATTTATCAACATCCCTGCCTAGGAGTTTGAGTGGCATGGTGAAATTAGCTTCAGATGGGCTTAAAAGGGTATGAAGTGTTAAACTACTGTCCCTTCCTGTGAGGAACCTGTCTGGAACAGACAGACAGCTATACCTTGAGGGGGTAGATTTTACATCTTGTAGTACCTCCTTAGCAAGGTATTGTACTTTTCTGAATAAGCACTGGAATTAGGTACAAAACAGCTTCAGAAACAGTGATGAAATCTCATAGTGTAAATTTGTTAGCATTCTTGCATAAACATATTTTTAGTTAATTTGTTAGTCTTCATCTTTCTGTGCTCATCATATTTTGATACTCCAAGACAAATTATTTATTTCTACTTGTTTACACTATACCCTTATTTAAGCCCAAAATATGGTCACTTCACTTGTTACTTCTGCCATCTTGCCATTTAGGAGGACAACATTGTTCACCTGTGTGATATCAACAGTTCTATATTTGTGGACATCTATTCCAAATGCAGCAACAAATTTTAAGAATAGAGTTTGATAATTATTTAAGTTCCCTTTCTTGGTCACTAACAGTGCCACCTGTAGTTACTCTAGAACAGTTGATACTGTTCTCTTTTCCAATATGTTAGAGTAATGGTGTTTTAGTCAGTGTTTCCTACTGAACAGTAGTTCTGCAAAACAGTCGAACCTATCAGACTTTCAGAAGTCAGAAAAGAATGTTATTGCATCTAAATAGGTAGTTTTACTTTAAGAAGTTACTGTGTGAAAATACAATATACAGTGTATTTACAGGAATATAATTCTGAAGTGGTTTACTGTACCATGGGAATTGCACATTGAACGTGTTCATTTGAAAGCTAAAGGCTTGACTTTATTACAAAATTTGCTGCAAATGCAACCTGTGCTCTATGCTCCCTTTAAAAAAACACCAGAGGTAAAATTACAAGATCGTGGCTTAGGCAGCAGGTACTCTACTGTACCATCATACAGCTCCATGCATTCCAGTGAAACAACTTCTAAATATTTCAGGCTTAACTTTGCACTGTACAATACTGGCTTAGGGGCAACAGGTTTGATTTTTTTTTTTTTTTTTTCTTTTTAATGTGATTCATCAGAATGTGGTAACCATTTTTTTACAGTTAGGAAAGGAAAATAATTTTTTCCTCTACTGTGTGGATTTTGACATATGAATATATTTTAGTGAAATGCCTCATTCTCTAGTGTGATCTTTCTGCCTGCAGGAAACATTATTTTTTAGAGTAGTACTACATTTAACAAACAACCTGGTATGGAAGTTGCACTAGTATGTACTATGACTTTACTTTCTCTAGAAATATCACTAAAGTAATGTTCAAAAACATGCTGAGATTATGCATGTATTATTTTTTATTTTGGCTTGTATTATGGTCATGATAGTTCTGATCTATGGAAAAGCAGTAATTATTTAATAGATAGAGTATTTTTTAAAATTTATATCCATATTAGCTGCTTACAAGAAATAGGCTATACAGCTTCTATAAAACGCTTCTGATTCCTCAAAGTAAAATGTCCTAGAAAAAATATTTTTTGTTGATACGGATGCTATATATAGCTCTTGTTTTCATATTAAAAAAAACCTGTAAAAGATCGTAATCCTAAATGAACTTACAGTGCTGGAGAGTTGGCCAAAACTAAAACAGAAGGAATGATTAGGAATGCATGTTGTCTAGGATGGACACATTGATTAATCCTTTTAATTAGCATTCTCTCTGTAAAACATATCTAATGAAATTTACTATAAATTCATACCATTGGTTTAATTTATGTGGTATTACTCAAGACTTTTAGACTTTTCTTACAGCAGGCCAATGATGCTCCAGAGGCGCTCCCCATGTCGGACAGATGATATGTAAGGTTGAAATGGAGAGCCCTGACATTATTGCCATGTAACTTTGCAGTGTTTCTTCTTTATTTTGTATGGGGCTTTTTATTCCTTTGTGTCATTTCTGGTATTGCAAAATCTTGGCTTCCTTCTCTGGCCCTTGTTGGTTGGGAAGGATCTGGTGACTGACATTCACATTTGGAATTCACACTGCTTGAGGGAAGATCATATCCCTGAACGTTACTGTGTCTGCATCACCCGTCAGGGATCAAAATCTGCAAGATTTCCTTCATGAAAGAAGATGGAACTTGCCTAGAAAATAATTTACCCAAACTGGACCGGTCTCCTACTCTGTTGCATCCAAGTCTTCTGAAAAAAAAAGCCATTTCCTAGCCTTGGCAAGTTTTTTGGGCAACAGCCATAATCCCTGATGAAGGTCTATCTAGTACAGTTTGGTTTCTCAGTATTTCCATGGTTGTTTCTCTTTATAGCTGAGGAGGAGCCTTCTTTGTTTTCAACCCATATTTAAAGGGTTACATGTATAGTTCTTCTGGAGACTACACAGAAATATCTCATGCCATACTGTTCCTCTCCTCCACAGCATACATGCCCTTTCCTCCATGAAGAGGTTTTGAAAAGCTCTTTGGTCAACCTAGTCTCCAAATCACTTCTAATTAAAATTGTGTCCGTTGTGCATTCTTCTCAATATTTGCCAACACCATCTAGCATTAGCCAACAAAAGAAATGATAATTCCAGGTCAAAGAATTGTTTAATTAGAGTGGGAAAACAATGACTGTTTTCTCTCACTCGGCCTCATTGCTGTTCAGCTCTTCACAGCAGTGTCTTTTGAAGACAAGCCTGGATAACATTATTTCTGTAATTCTTTTGTTCCTCGAAGGACAGATTTGCCTGCTGCCATTAGATTTGATCCATTACAGCCACTAAATTCATTGCCTCATATTTCATTGTCTATAGCTCAATGCAGCAACTTCCTGAAGAGTTTCTTTGTCTATCTGAGATTGCTTCAGCAGCAAGGTTTGGAGTTTAGATCCATGTCTAGGGGCTGTCAGGGACAACAGTTTGTTGCAACAGAGAGGAAAGGAGATAAGTGATCCATTTTCAGTGTAGGCACAACTTCAGGTTCAGGATGGTGACTTGTTAGTGGCCAGTAGGTGTTTGTCAAGAGGCAGGCAAGCAGTGTGTGTCTTTTGAAACCTTTGAATACACTGATTGCCTCAGCCATTTTGCTATTTTGGCTCATGAACAAGAGGTCTGATCAGATGTTCTGATACCAGCTTTCAGCTTGACGAGTTGTTTGCTTTGGATATCACTTGACTTGGATGCCTCTGACTTTATGAGCTGGGTGGTGTCCAGGATTTCTGTCTGTTATGTTCTTCACTCAGTAGTCCAACAGACTGATTTATTTTCTCTCAGTTCCTCTAAATCAAAGGTCTTAAGCTAAGGTAAGAGAGAACATGATTTTCAAGCTGTCTTGGCACAGCTGTGGCAGTTTTGGTATTGGAAAGTTCTCTGTTGCCACACCAAAGCCATTCTTTTTTTTGGGACTCCTTGCTGTCCAAATCTCTCCATCCCATGGTGTGCTTGCTGGTTGGACTGATTACTGTTTCTGACTCATGAGAAGGGCCTCTATTAACAGAAAAAAAAAGTGTATATGTGACTGAACGGACCAGTTCGCTGCCTCATATGCCTTTGGAACTGCTTTCCCATAGTCTTTGTTCCGGTGTCCTTGAATTGTTTATTGAACCTGAAGGAATCTCATCTTTGTCTTAACTAAGATATAGTTAGCAGCACTTTTGATATGTAATGTACTAGTGCTGTGAGATTCCCAGTGTTCTTTTAGCCTATGGTTTTAAAATTTCTCAAATGGTGGGTTAAATTGTTCTTTTCTTAAGGGATGCTTGTGCTGAGTGGGATTTGAACTCCTGCTTTCACATGTCTGTGGACATGGTATTTTTTACAGCTATAACTTTTACCCAGGTTGGCAGGGAAAATTCAGGCTATTGTGGCTGGCCTCAACTCTCGTCCAAAGTCATTCTTTAGGGACAGAGTGACTGTTTTTGATACTGTGCAAGCTCATTCTTAAGGTGATTTTCACATTCTGCCTTAATTTACCTAAACCTCTTCCTTCTGGAGATAAGGCTCTGCTATGCTATGAGTGGAGCCTTCTAGTAGGAAAGGAAAGAAATCACTGTACTGGGAGAGTACACTCTGGGACGTCTCAAGCTACCTCAGTTTTCTTTGAGGAGTCTCTCATAAACATTTGACATGTAGTCAGCTGAAGCTTCCTGTATACCTTCAAAGAAGTTACAGTACTAAAGAAGTGTTTCAAGGTCATGTAGTGCTCGACAGTGCAGTTTTCCAGTCACTATTTATAGGATGCTGAGTCCCTCCTCCCAAGTTTTTAAGTAATAACAAGTTATATCGTGGAGTCACAGTATTACTTGAAGACAGAAAAAGAAGCTACTTATGTACTGACTGACTGGTGTTAAGATGTGTAATGCAGCTGTGCATCATCTGCTAGCCTTTGCATTCTCAGAGTGACTGCAGAACTCTGCTCCCTGTTTGCCTCACTCCTGTATACCATGAGCTCAGCCTCGGGTTGGGGGGATCTTCAGGTACTGCAAGAGAATAATTTTCTGGCCTTCAGAGAAAGTACACATGTGCACCCACAGTATGAATGTACACATGTGGGCTGCATATGTTGAAAAAGTCTGGTAACCATAATCTCTTTTTATATGTTTCTCTTTGAAATGGATTTAAATTACACAATGAGGTCTTTATGACTACAGATGTCCAGTTGCCTCTGAAAATATGTATCTTAGATCGACTTTTACTGAAATCACACTAACTGTATTTTGTGGAGTGATTTTACTATGATAGTGACCATGTTTAAGAAAGATTTAATGGCTGCACTCTTAAAAACAAAACTCGAGCAAAACCGTATTTGGATGGGTTATTCATCCTTGAAGAAATGTCATTTCAGATCCGATTTTTCTGCAAGATTATAATCTAAATTTAATAATGTTATGATCTTGAAATTGACTGTTCATGTTTTGTGTATCTTTATATTTCTATTTCAGTAAGTCTCAGCAGTTTTGTACCACGACAAAACTTTCTAAGCATTGATCTGCCTGTGGTGATAGAGACATTCTGCAAGTATCCTTTGAAGTATGTTTGTTCTTTTAAGGCAAGAAGCGAACTGTTTAGCATTTGGTGACCCAGCAAAATTTCAGTTGGATATCATTTTAGACAGGATGCTCTGAAACATTTCTGTAGAGTTTTGACATCTTTATCACATCTCTGCATTGATTATTGTCCATGTGCCAAGCTCAGAATGAAATCTCTCACTTTCTTGTGCTTAGCAGCATATTTTTGGTCAGTGATTTTTTTTATCTCTTTCTTGAGGGTGAGTCTTAACAGCTCTGACAAGAAAGTCAGAGTAAGCCTGAATTTACAGCAGGACAAATGAGATGTTATGGCTAGATTTGGTATGTCAGAGTTTTATAATTTTTGAGTCATTATACTGAACTAAGTAACAGGGTATGGTTGTTTTTTTTTGTTTTTTGTTTTTTTTCTTCAACAGAAAAGAAAACTTAGCCTACTCAAAAAGCAGGATTATAATTCAGTTAAAGTGAATTATTTCATTTATTAAATTGTCATTAATGAATGCTTATTAATGAATGGGATACATATACTCATAAAGGTTAGTAGGCATGAATATGTCTAATCTAAGAACCCTTAGCTTTAGAAACGGAAATATTTATGCATGGCTATAGAACAGTTAAACAGTGTAGGTCCGTGTAGTCCATAAAACTAGAGTAAAGATACTATATAAGTTCCCCTTTTCTGGGAACACACCAACGCTGACCCAGATGATTTCTAAGTCATATGTTTTCTTGTCTAGCCATTATAGGATGGAGGTAGGTATTACAGTTAGCAAGCCTCTACCAACAATAAAAATGATCTACCCTTGCCTTATTCTCACATGCACATGCATGTACAGAAATCCGCTCAATTTTTCTGGCTAACAGGTAAGTAGGAGAGAGAGGCCAGATTTCCAATTATATTCTAGCAATTGACTTACTCCAGTGAGGGTGTGTTTTGGAAAATATTCCTAATCATTATTTCATACTTAGGTCATAGGTCTAGAATACTTTCTTACTTCAGGCATGGTGTCAGTGCTGTAACCTTCCTTCAAAACCACACAAAACAAGGGAGGAAGATGGGCAATATTAAGTGTGGGTTTGCTGTCTCTTGCTTTTATCTGAGTTATAAAGCATGCAGGTTGTTTAAGTATCCAAACCGAGTGCTTAAAAACAAATTAATCTATAAAGGCAGTTGTCTGAGCTGGTATGTTATGGCGTAAAACTCATATAATTTATTTGAAACAGAATAGTAGCTAAAAAAAGATACCTCTCCTATGTTTCTCCCTGCATACTAGAAGTAAAAAAATATGTTCTGTATTAATTTTTTTTACATTTTCTTGGATATTATTCATGAACCTTAACTAATGTCAACCAGGTACCTAATTTCACTGTCAGGAGCACTGGCAGTTATCAATGCTGTACCCTGCTTTGCTTTGGATGGTCAGTGGATATTAAATTCATTCCTGGAAGCCACTCTGAGCTCCCTGGTTGTAGAAAAACAAAACAGAGAGCTTGTTGGCTTTTTAATTTTACTTGCTGGTAGTGCACTTTTGGCTGCCAATGTTGCACTAGGACTTTGGATGGTGACAGCACGATAGAACATTGGATATACTTCTATCAGTTCTCAAAGTACACAGAAATAATGAATCCATTGCCTTTTAAAACTTATTCAGTACTGAGATTGAAATAATTCCCTTAAAATGACACTGAAAGAAAAATCACTAGTGGCTGCTGTTTTAATTTAAAACTGTACAACATTGTGCCTGTAGTCATGGGAAATCTAATAGAAGTAGGAACGTTTTTATATACTCTTTAAGCACTGTACTGATTTTGGAGAAATTGCATTGTAAAGTTTCACAGGAAAAAACCTAAGACCTCATTAATTTAGATCTTAAAATAATGGAATTATTTGGCCTCAAACATTTGTAAAATGGGAGAAAAAAAAACACTTAGCTTTTATTTTATAATTTGAATAACTGTCATAAAATCTGTGTGGGCTTTGATCATTTCTCAGTCAGCATAGTCTTGAGTGTCTTGTTTTGTTTATTTAATCTGGTATTCTACCAAACTGGGCTCTAAGAAGCCCTAAAGTCTGATCTCAGAATGGTGAAATGCTAAGTAAATGCTTACCGCGTGTTAATGAGGAGAGAGAGGCCATATGGGTTAGTATCTTTCCTTTTCAGCTGGCCAATATGACTGGAAGCTTGTCCTCAGGATGTAGATGAGAAGTGCCAATGTCTGTTAAGAATGAGGCATGTGGGAGGATAACAAAGCCCACATGTCTGTGTTTCTTACACACTGAGTTGTATATTATCATACTCAGCTGAAGACTTTTTAAAGGCAATATTTGTCAGCAATAGCTACAAAATAACTGAAATTTAGTTTCTGAGTGCTGAAGTATGCTGTGTACAATTATTCCTTAATGATAAGTAATGTTTGTGTTGTTTTACTCAGAAAATACTATATTATACCTGTTTACAGTTAAAAGTGAAATCTGTTGTTTTTATGGTGTCTCTCTTTTGATGCTATGCATGTAATATGTACAGTAACTCGCTGATGGTTTTCTGTCTTTCTAAGCATTGTTTTCCTTTGCTAGGATTCATTCTATTCAAAGATAGCTAACAAAGATGTTTAGATGAAGTTGGTCTTGAATCAGAATTGTTTAGAGGAAGAATATGATTGTGAATTGAACTATTTAAACATTTGGCTTTGCTTTCTGAAATGAATACAGACCATATCCTTGTTCTTAAATGAGCAGTGGAAGAACAGTCAGTGTTTTGCTGACTGAAGTATATCTGACATACTTTGAAGCTCTAAGTCTGTAATATTTTGTATGCATTAAGATTATATATTGACTGTCACGTCCACCTGTGAAATATTGCCCAGTTTACATAAAATATTGCCTAGTTTATATAAATCAGATTCCATCAGAGACTCAGTATAGGCTGATACTCAAAAAAAAAACAAAAAAAAACAAAACAAAAAACCAAACAAACAAACAAAAAAAAAAAAAAAAACCCAAACAAACCCCAAAAAAACCCCTTCTGGTTTGACAGTCTAAATATTTGAAACAGGAAAATTTTGAAAAATACCCTGCAACTTCTGGCCTGTGCAGGGCTCCCCACAGGAGCTGCTGCAGCTCAAGAGTTCCTTTACAGAAATGGCCTTTCCATCAGGAGCTGAAGTGGAAGCTAAGCTCATGGATACTGGCCTTCAGGGAGTATGGAAGCATTAATGACCAGCTAACATAGATTCTCTTGGCAGTAGAGGTAAAAGCCTGGGTAATTTTAAAAGTGGGGTTGAGCCCAAAATCTGGTGCTATTTCATGGATTCGTAACTATGATGTTTGCATTTGCCTGCTGATTTGTTACTGTATTTTTGCACAGTAGCCTTCACACTTACTGAAGATGTATTCTTTTTTTAAGATGACGCAGGCAGTAATGAGAGAGCGTGTTTGTTTATTTGTTGTTGTGTTAGTTTACTTACCCCTCCAGTGCTGTCACAGGCTGGGTGGGCCTCTTGAAGTTCGCCTCTGTGGGGTGGCGGGCCCATGCCTCTCATTTTCAATCATTTCAGCCCAGGCATGTAGGCACAGATCCCAGTAAAAGAGAGTAAATCCTCCAGTCAATCCAGTGCAAGTCAGTCCCTTTGGAGCCTGTTAGAAGTCACACAAAGTCCAAGAGAGGAAAAACAATCAGAAACTGCCAGCAGGCTTCTCTTTATTCTGGAGACACCCTGAAAGTCTAACTCATCATCACTCCTGGAAACATATAGAGGCTTTAGAGTGGTGGTTCTGATCGGCCACTGCCATCTCTCTGTGGACAGGAGGGATAGGAGCAGCCTGGATCTTGCACAAGGCCTGGCTCCAAGGCTGTGTTCCAGAAGCTTGCTCACTCACCCAAGTGGCTGCTTACTAATCTGAGTTCTTCCTTTCAGTGGCTCTGTGCCACTTTCCTCTGTCTCTGTGTCTCGTCCAACCTACAGTGCACAAAATTAATTTGCACTTCAGAGTTTTAATGCCGCAGGATATATACTTTTCTAGATGGTTACTGTTTATGTATCAGAGTTGCAGTGCTGTCTTATCTAAAGCAACAACAAATGCATCTATGGTGATTTCAAAATATTCTGTGAAAAATATTTCAGGTTTGATACTTTATATATTCATGTTGACTACAGGTGCTTGGGACAATCTTTTAACATAGTACTCCTCCTGAAGATATAGGCAAGAGATTTAAAAAAACCAAAGTTTCTGAATTAACTTACACAAGTTACATCTGCTGTAATGAGGCTGGCAGGTTGTTCCTCATTATTTAATGTGTTACCAAAATACGATGTTTTATCAAAGAAAATTAAATCCATTTGATTTTACTTTACACAATCACTGAAAGCCACAGTTATACTAAGTAGAACTTCAGTCTGTGTTTGACCTCATAATTAAAAAGAGGGTGAAGACATGAGTCACAGTTTTAAGCGAAACGGACACACTAGTACACTCTACAGACCCTGGTTATCTTATATGGGAGAGATAGTACTAGAAGCGTTTAAAAATAATTCAAGGGTCCATTTCTCTATGTGCTGAAATTCTATTGAATAAGGGTTTATTTTAGGTATGCACACGTGCTTTGAGTCAAGACTTTAAGCAAACTGGGTATGAATGGTGACCCAGCACATCTTAGATTACCTGTGGACAAAGGTAATAGTTAAATTGAACCTCTCTGAAGAAGAAGTTGTTCAGTGGATCCATTTCATTCTCCTGGAATCCTAACATATGGATTACATTCTGATAAGCAAGTGCCATACACAAATTTATTGTTTGTTTGTTTCGCAAGAGAGAACACAGAAGGACACAATTTTTTTTTTTTTTTGTGTTGGATTTTTACTCTGGAGTATTTGCTATGTTTCTTCTATTTCTGTTTTTGTAAAAATTGAAAGGAAGCCTTTCCTTAAAACTAAATTTTTCTACTTCTCATTCTTATTAGCCCTTCAAAATGTAACTTATTCTTTAATACAGAATCCATCAATATAATTATAGCGCATATTGACTGGAGTATAGAACAGAACACTCTTAAAGATTGGATGGATACTACTATTTATGTATATACTATGCATTTTAAATCTGTATCAGATGGAAAAAGTAATGTCTAACATTGGGAAGTGTTATACACAGCTTTTACTTGAAAACTACCAGAAGAATTCCATAATTATAATCATTGTTCTGATTAAGTTTTTATGAGAATTTTTTCATATCAGCAAAGGCTTCCATAGCATGTTCTGATAATGCATGATATGACATGAAAATGCCTAACTTTTTAGCACATGGGATGTTACACGCTTTTTGCAAACTTAAGAAATTAAAACCAGCTTGCTTCCGTACAAGTTAAATGAAAGAGACTTCACTAGAAAAAGTATAGTCAGACTTACAGATTAGTCAGCCCAAATTTATGAGCCACAGTAGAAAATCTGTTAACTCATCCTTTTTATTTAGAACAAGCAGCTGTATTGACAGTTACTTTTCAGTGATGATGATTCTGCATTTGTGTATATGTGTATACATACACGTATATAATAGATACATACACAGCCACAGTCTGTATTGCTGCTTTTTTAGGGATAACTTACAGCAGTCCCCTGTACTCTGTGATGTAGGCTTTTTGTTCTTTTTCCTTCTCCCTATGAATTCCATATCTTTCTCTGGATTTTAAAATTGCAACTATGTTTTTCTCCCATAACTGATCTAACTTCTTTATTAATATAAGACAAGTGATGGACATAATGTAGCTACAGCTGCATGACTTTTGTTCAGCTGATGTTTAAAATATATTTCTTGCTTTCTGTGAGGCCTCAGCTACAAGCATGGCAAAGACAGATTTTTCAGGGCAGCTAAAAGAGGTCAACCTTAGTATTCATTACCCTCTAAATACTGCAGTTTGCTGTTCTGAATGATAACTGGGATGAGTGAGACTGCGTAGAGTATACAGAAGAAATGTTTTTCAGGACAGACTTCCCATGGCAGTCAGGGTGTTTCAGCTTTCTTAAAATAAGGATATATTTTTGTTCAGTTTAGAACATCAACAATACAAGTTTTCCCAATAGTTCCCTATACATTTTGCATGATGGCAAAGGGTGATCTGTAGCAAATATTTTTTTAAATAAATTCTGTATGTCTTCTATCTGAAAGATCTGCATTTGTATCTGGATATCATTTATGACAGATGAAAAAGGTTATAAAGGTGTATGTAGCCTAATCTGTATTTATTTGTTTTAAAAACATATTAGTTAAACTTTAGAAATAAATAGTTATTTGTAAAATATGCATTCTATACACCCACATTCAAATTCCCGCAACTAGTCTTGCCTCAGCGTTGTGCTTGTGACCTTGTGAGTAAGGAAGCTGAATCTAACTCAGGTAAGAGCCAATATTAGCAGTTATTTTGTATCCTCTTTATCCTGAATTTAATGTAACACTGTGTAGAGACTAGTTATTTAGTGTGGCTGAGTTATCTGTGGTACATATCCTGTATTAATGCAGCACTTGGGAAGCATTGTGCTAGGGACTGCTGGAAAACAGCAGCTCTGTGACTCTTATTCCTTGGACTCATCCACTACGATCATGTGAAGAGCAGATGGCAGTGACTGGGGGCAGTGAAGAACCTCAGTTTATGGCAGCTGTATGAAACCTTCACGCTGCTGACCCAGTGTGAAAGGACAGGAACAAAGCGCAGGATATGACACTGCAATTCCATTCATTCCATTTACATTGGCATGAAACGTGAAAAGAACTTGTAATTAACATTTCAGAGCATGCAGATATGTTTTCCAGTCTTTCACTGAATCATTCAGTGACTGGTGATCAAACTTTTTTTATTTTTGGTTAAAAACCACTTTGTCATTCCATTGATAAATATGTGCTGAATAAGTGCTATGAGTAGTTGTAGCTTATTTAGTAAAATGGACTTGGTTATTTCTCACCTCTGGATGTTGATCTTGGGTTGGTAATTGATCTTCACTTGATACTAATTTGAATGTTTGGAGGCCATCACTTGAGAAATCTAGTTTCTTCATTCCCAAGTTCGTTGTTAACATTTTAAATTCCTATTTTCCTTACATAACTTTGCTTTTATATTTCATATGCTCAGATAATCTTATCTGAAGCCTGTCAATGGAATATGTATTGTTTTGAAATTCATTGTGGGTTTTTTTTCTCTAGATAGCCTTATTTTTCACACTGACTCACAGCTGTGGAATGTTAGATTTCTAGACCCTTTGTTCCTACTATGCATTGTTCATGATCATGTTGGTTTTTTTTTTTTTTTTAAAAAAGAAAGCTTCATTTTGAAAATGTCAGCTAACAAATATATAGAACACTTTGAATAAGGTATTGTTTTTGTTTTGCTTTTTTTTTCTCTCTGTAATCAAGCAAACAATAAGTATTGTTTTCTATGTATGATAGATGTATCCTGCAAATAAATTCATTGTTTGATTGTTAATGTGCTTAAATCTGTTTTGAAAATAAGGTAAGAGTGACATAATTCCTTATTTGTGGCAATTACCATATTCTCATACTCTTCATACATAACATACATTCTCTCTCTCTCTACTGACAAGGTACTAGGAGGTACCACTATCCTTTTCAGTATGTGACCACCATCTAAAATGAATAATAACTATCACTTTTCTTTCCCTTATTTATCAGCTTATCACACTAATAGTTTGAGTTACGACAGAAGTACATCCAGACAGACACGTTGTACTGGAGTAAAGCTAGCTTCATTTTAATGTGACCAAGGTACGTAGTGACTGCCTTATAGGGGCACATGCCTTTCTCTTGGCTTAGTTCCTCTGTAAATCTTCTCTTACAGAGTTACGAACTTCTCTTTGCTTGGTTTGTAGGGAAATATTTGACACAGCATGCCACAGTCAAGATAAGTGAAGCCACTTCTCTGGGTGTTAGGGCCAGTCCTATGTGAAGAACTTGACAAGTCAGATCTTCAAATGACACTGAGGTGATGTTATGTATCACAACCTTTGATTTGTATATACAGGCCAGCCCAGAGCTGTGCACATACCCTGTCTAGTTCTGAACAAGTTTACTTAGGTATCCAGATGCTGTCTGGGGCTGCGTTAGCATGGTGAAACCAGGTGGTTTATCTTTATTTGAGAATGAAGCTTTATTGCTCTGTTTCTTGAGCAAGCTTGTCTAGAGTTAACCAGGTTATCTGTACTGAGAATTAAATTGTCCTTTGTTGCTCCCTGGACAAGCTGTTACTTTGTACAAGCAGAGCTGTTTCAGCAAGCATGGCTTTGTTCCCAGATAAAAGATTACCATGAGAAAAAAGCACAAAGCACAGATCAGACACATTGGTAGGATTTCCCAGATAGGTTGCTATGCAATTTTCTGAATATTTGCATGAGGAAATGGCACTTTTCTTCCTCGTGTTAAAGGTAGAGACAACAGTTTATTCTTTCTGAAGCAAGGGTCCTGACATTTTTCAGTTTGAAAAATTATGAAAGTTATCCTTCTGATTATGTATGGTCTGTAGTCTAGAATAAAATCAGTGATGTCTTAATGTCATCTTGAGCAATGTTCCTTAATCACTAATATAATTTCAGGATAAGATTTATAAGGAAATACTGTATCTATGAGTCTTACTGCTGGTAACTTTATAAAGAAGACTTAATATAATTCTTCCTCTGATCATACCAGTTTGAATCACCAAGCAGAAGCATTCCTAAACATCTTTAGGAGATCTGTATGCATTGAACTCACTTAAATATTTTTTAAGATTTTTATGAGCTTTTGATATGAGCTACCCAATGAAATACAATTTGAGGTTTGATTCTAATCTTATGGTAGTAAACTGGGGGAATCCACAACATTCATGAGGTCTAAGCAGCAGTCACCTAGACTTCTACTAACTTTTTTCCCCTTTTCTTACCACAGACAGATGTGGGTCTGGTGTTTACTTTGATGCCTTTAAGGCTCCAGTATTGTTGAAGTAGAATTGGATGTTTTTACTAATTATGTATTTTATTCTCTATGTTTCTCATTAATTCTACCTCTTTTCAGTTCTTCGCAAATATTGTAGTGGCTGAATACTATGTAACTGCCACTTCTGACAGTCTTGAAAACAGATGGTTGTACATCCTTTTTCATTTCCCTTGAAAGGAATCTTTCAAACTAAAAAGAAACACTTCTTTTTTTCTTTTCTTTTTGTTAAATGTCATCCTTTTTATTTGCTATTGTGTTATAAAAGTCTCTGTATCTTTTTTCCCTTTCACAGCTCTGAGGATCTATTAAAATACTACTAGATATTTTTTAAAGTGTAAATTCCTCTAAGCCCACTGAATTTGATTCATTTACCCACATAGGCATCTGTTGTGGTCTGAGATAACCTACGGTGTTCTTAGGATAATAACCTGACTTGGAACAATGTTTTGAAACTCATCCCTCCACTTGTCTCCTTTTGTCTCCTATTGGCTTAGGTCTTAGGTTTTCTAAGACCTACGCATGGGCCTGGCAGATACGGGTGAAGCCCTGTAGGAGATCAAAGATACTCTGGACCAGCAGCTGGGTACTAGGAAGGGTACTCGAGGGCATTTTTTTTTATAATGCTAGATGCTTATATGTGGGCAACAAATCAATCGAGATTGACTCCTTTTCTTTCCTTGCATTTCTTTTTGACTCATGAATTAAAGTGGAATAATGAGGCTTTTTGAGTGAGTTTTGTTGGACATAAAAATGGATCTAAGCTTTTCTGTTTGTGCATAAGAGTGCCATACAGGCTATTTTATACAAGTTAGGCTAGCAGAATATATGCGTTCTCCTCCTGCTCTGGATCTTAGGTCTGGAAGCAGGAGAAATGAGTATTGCTGCCTTATCTACAGCAAGAAAAAGGAAGGCTTATTTTATAAGGAAAATACCATCTGTCTCCAGATGTGGAGTGGTGGTAGCAGCAGTGTGCAGATTTACAGGAAGTGATGAAGAGGCACCAGGTGGAGACAAGGCTGTGTGAAGGGACTGTGATCATCTTGGCCAACTGCCACAATTGTGTACTTTTTTTTTCCTTGTAGGAGAAAAGAAGTGGTGAGACTTACAATTAGGAATGGGATAAAATCAGGGAAGGGGCAAGATAGAAAGAGGTAGTTTGTTCTTTTACAGAATCTTTGAATCAGAAAAAGAGTATGTATACTTTACAAGTGGAGATGTAAGTGCTGTTTAGTAACTCCATGATAGGAATTTTTACTACTTTTTTTTTTTTTTTTCCCCCTTGAAGCATTTATAGAGTTGACTTGCAAATAAAACTGACAAACTTCCATCACTGGTAGAAACATCCCATGTAGTAAGATCAGAGGTGCAATAAAAGCCTGTCCTAGATAGCATTTCAGGGCACTTAGACCTCAGAGTTGTGTCCCTCTCCCCATTTAAGGATTGGACCTGATCTTGCTTTCAGTTAGTCTGGATGCAAATTCAGAACTTTTCTCCTGTTTTCACATTCCTCCTTCAGCAAGAGTTGACCTCATGCAGTTATTAAGAAAAATTAATCAATCCATTTTTATAATGTTTTGCCCCTTGGCTTTGTTTTCATTCATGCAGCTATTTGAATAACTAGCAGAAACTAGGCCAAACCACCTGTATCTTTATCATCGCTGCAAAATCAACAAAGCCAGATAATGAACGTGCTTTATGAACCACAAATTCCTGGGTACTTACCACTGGTTATACCAACAAACTTTTGGGGCTTGGTTTGTTTTTGGGTTTTTTTTGACTGCAACTGTTTACTGCTCTTTATTAGATGGTTGAATTTATTCCCTGAAAATGTTCTGCAAGGCACTTGCAACATGCTGCAGTGCTGAAGGAAAAAATGGGCAAAATAAAACTTGTATAATATGCTTTTTACTAAACAAAATTCACTGTTTCATTTACTGAAACAGTGCAGATAAGTTATTATTTTGTCATATATTAAAGCCCTGATTATTTTTCTAGCATTTATCTTCAAAGTTACTCCTAAGGAAAACACTTCAGTAGTTAACCTAACTGGCCTCTGCATATCATTTTAACTGCAATTAAATGTAACTGAACCAGAAGTTAAAATATTGCTGAAATAGTTGTGAAAACTTTAGCATATTATCAGACAGTATTTTTTCATAAACATGCAGAAACCTATTGTTCACTTGAGACTTCAGGTAGCTGGGAACTGCACAATTTTTTTAACCTTTATTTTTTATCTTGACAACAAAATACCAAAAGCAATTCCAAAGAAAACATGTCATCTTTCACTTACAGGGTTACTTGGAAGGGCTCGCTTTTAGCATGTGCAAATAATAGTGTAAAAATTAAACTATCATTTAACAACATGGTATTAAGTGTGAAACTGATGGTGATATATCGCTCTGTTCTCATATATGTGATTCTCCAATTAGTTTCTCATGCTCTATAGTAAGTCAAATGCAAGTGCAATGCAGATTATTTGCATGAGCTTCTACAGCTGTACAGTGTACCTGAAGACATTCAGGTTGCAGCCAAACCAGGAGTCCAGGTTTGTTGAACTTAGTTCATCACAGTGACAAGGGAAAAAAAGTCCAGATATTGAATGTAGCTGATTATGGAATCATGAAACCAAACTTGTCATACTCTGATGTAAAATAGCAAAAGAGTCCAGAAAATTAATGGTCATGCAGGTTTTAAAAATAATAATTTTTATTATTAATTACAAATAAATAAGTAAATAACTTGAAAAAAATGCCCCTTAAATGAACACACTCTTCTAGATCAAAAAGGTGCTTTGAAATGCAAAATAAACCTCTTTTCTTCTGCCAGGGGCTTGTGTGTACACACAGATGCTAATTTGCGAAGCACTTGGTTAACTTCCGCTGACCTGAACTATCAACAGTTTAGATAAAAACAATGATTGTTAGTGGCTTTAGAAAGCTGTGAAACACACAGGCTGTAGCTTTGGTTCGGAGAAGCGGTTCAGCAGCTCCCAGTGGGACCGCCGGCCGCTGCGCTGCACCGTCCCCGCCGGGCAGCGGCCTGGCAGGGCCCGGCGCCCGCAGTCCCAAGGAGGGACTTAGGCCAGCGGAGCTCACTCAGCTCTACAGCTAGGACCTTGCTTACCCTGAGGTCAACAGGCCTCTGGAACTAGCTCAGAGTTTGACTCAAAGCAGCCCTGAAGTCCTCTTCTGCACCTGCCCAGCCCCGCTGTAGCTGAAGGGCTCACACACCATGTCCAGGCCGGGGCCTGGCAGCGACGTGGCCGTTCCTCTTGCCCGAGAGGCTCAGTCAAGCACTTATTCTCAGCGTGGAAGTTTTAAATCGAGCATCCCACAAAATGCAGCACGGGGTTAGTTCTATCTTTGAAAATGCTGTGTGCACGGCTGGGAGCAGGATACAGCAGATGGGAAACAGTCTGGTTACAGTGCAATGTCTGTTTGGTGAACCACTGACCAGACTGTTTATATAATA